GGGAAGGGAAGGGAAGAGGAGGGAGGAGGGGAGGGGAGGGGAGGGGAGGAGTATAAGAGGGAGAAATGGCCCTGCTGCTCTTTAGGAAAACAGTATCTGCATATTGGCACCATGTAATTTGTGACCAAATAACAGAAGGCTAATAATAGTAGTTAGTTCAAAGCTGTGGGAAACATACAGACCTAAACTGGAAGGGAACAATTGTGTCCCCATGCAGCCCTGATTTCACAGACCGAGTTTTATTAAGAAACACAGAAATTACAGTTTTGGGGACCACTGGGGTTGCACTATAGTGATCTAAGAGAAGTTTATGAAGAAGGGTGTATATGCGTAACATTTTTTTCTGTTTTCCTCTAACTAGCAACACACAAGATGTTCATAGGCTTGCAGCACGTGGTTAATGAGGATTGTCAAGCAAAGAGAAGGTTGAATGGCACTCTTCAGAGCAGCCCTATGTAAAAGGAAGCAACAAAAAGGGGCCAAACCCTTCTTGGTAACAGCAGATGGTAAAACAAGGGGCTACAGAATCAGATGATGATTCAGAGGTTCAGGTTGACCATTTGGAAAAAAAACGTTTTCACTAGGAAATTACTACAACACTGTGACAAGTAACTAAAGATCTTGGGAGGCTTTCAAGACCGAGCTAGATAAAGCCAAAGCAATGTGATCTGTTGTTGTCAATAGTCCAGCTTAAGTGGGAGGTTAGACAGAGACCTCCAGAGATCCCTTTCACATCTCTGTGACTTAAAAATGTGAAGTTATAATTCTAAAAATATTAATATATTTAGACTTTTATTTTTTTACATATTCGTTTGGATATTACGGAATCTGCCGAGAACTCATTTTTCAGTTACCTGTGATGCTTTTCATGAACATATCAAAATGTAAACAAGTTCAGAATTCTATGGAGACATTATTGTTCTCACCGCCCCTCTCAATTTATTTAAGTCCCACCACTCTGAAGAAAAATAGAACACACTTTTGTTATTTGGTCAGCTAAATGATGATATATATGTAAATTCTTTCCCTAAAGACAGACACATACATTTGTCCCTTGTAAGGTACTATCCTACTTATTTCTATACATGTATGTGTATGAGAGCAAGACTCTGTCCCACACAGGCACCTTCTTGTCCCCAGAGATGTTCAGAGTTTTGTGAGGAAAGAAAAAACAAATTTTACAAGGGTCTGGAAGCAATTTGTTATTTGAGTACTGCGGTGTTTACGCATGCAGAAATGACAAGGAAAATGTAAAACACATTCAGCAGGATTTCCATGAATACTCCTGCATTCCTGTGTTCGAGGGAGCACCCCTGCACATCAGTAAAAAACTGCCTTGATTCAGTATTTACATGTGAAGACACAGGCAATCTTGATAATCTAAGGTCTAAGAGGAGTCACTGTGCATGTTGACACCCAGACCATGGGGGTGAGAAACACCAGTCCGACCCAGGAAGTGACTGACCACCAGAATGTGGAACACTTCCACTCTAACCCACATTAAGGGCAACCTTGAGAGACAGAAAGCAGAATCCTTGCAGAAAAAAAAAAAAAATAAAAAAATAATTCTTCCAGCTGACTGCAGAATATGACTGTGCTTTGTCTCATATACACTTAATAATAATTTAAAAAAAAAAAAAAAAAAAAAAAACCAGACGCCCGTGCATTTTTTTGTGAGCTTTACCAATGAAACTGGAAACAAGGGTATGTGTTATAAATTTCTCGCTGAAGTCCTGCACTCAGGGTAATTCTTTTGCAAACTAATAAACCCACCTGTGAAAGCAGGTAAGATTGGAACTCCAGAAGCATTCCACCTCGAAAGAAGAAATCTGATAGAGAAAAGTGCTCCAGGCTTGTTTAAAGTTTATCTACTGGCAGAAAAGCCTAAGGGAAAAGAGTGAGAATCAGCTACAGAGAGAGCAGCAGAAGAAAGGAAGACAAGAAGGCTAAAACGCACTGTACCTTTTCTGCTGGAGTAAGTAGATTTCATCCAGATGTTTATCCCAGGATTTTTTGCCTTGCAACTTCTGACTTAGTCCATTCCACATGCGGAAATAGAAGGGCTTCCTATCCCCAAATAAAGGTACCCCCATAGCACGTCCCCTTTCCTCTCTTGCCTAGCTGCCTGAAAGCCAACAATCCCCACTCTGAAAACAGTCAGGGAAGGCTCCCTACAGGTCACCACTCCTCCACCCCCAGTCTGTTACTTACAGAGGAGACCGCATCAGCTGATCAAAGTAATGTAAAAACAAAAAGTAAAATCACTTGTCTCTAGCAGACCATAGCCTGAGCATAATCAAGTACTTAGTTTCCAAAATAGCCCAACCCAAAGGTGTGTCTGATTTAGAAGCACTTTGCCAGCAGTTTACCCCCTCACAATGACCCTATACAGCACTGCAGAATATGTACAGCATCAGTGTCCTTGGCTTCTAGTATATCGTTTCTGAAGTCTAGAATTTAGAAGTAATTCTCCTTATGCATCTCTGAATTCCTCTGGAAAGCAACATTTAAGCAATTTTGAAATAGACAGCTGAACAGGTCAGACAAAACAGCTTTTAGGTGAGTGAACATGTGCAAACGTGCCCTAAAAGACACTGCACTCTGGTAAGGTAGTACAGAGGAGGACACACCTCCCACCCCAACCGTCTGCAAATCCCATTGAAGAAATTATCATTATAGACTCCACCTTCTCTGTGTCAAACAAAATCACAAGCTGGAAGAAGAGTTTATGTAGATTAATGTGTAAATTTTGCATATTTCATTTTCCTTTAATGTTTCACAATCTCTCACTGTTTCTTCACATTTCTTCCAGAAAAGCTTATTTAGGAAAGGGATGAAAATTTCTATTTAACAAAAACTAGGTTTTGGTATAGAAAAACATCGTGAGTGTTGTGTATGTTTGTGTGTATGTGTTTGTCTGTAAAGCAGTAGACAAAATATCAAAATAAAGAGAGGAGACAGCTTCTTCTTCTTGTGAAGAAGCTGAAAGCTATGTGGGAGGAAAAAAATACTCCTAGTTTCTAATCTTCTTTACCTAAAGTCTTGTCCTAATATTCTTGCATCCTGAATCAACAGAGATGTCCCTTCATTCTTACTCCTGCTGTAGTGGAAAAGAATTCTGTTTAGGGTGCCTGAACATAGGCAGAATCAGTAGGTAAGGGAGAAAAGTGTGTAAAGCAATAGGGCTGAGTCATTAAACTCCTGGTTTATTTAGAGGTTACTTAGACTTACCTAACCAGGATTCACATCCAACCTTCTGTAAAATCATGAGGTATCCTATCCTGTAAAAAATGTAAATCACCCCACAGAAAAAACAATGCCTTAAGGCAAACTTGAGGACTCATATCGGAAAATGTAAGATTCACTGAGTTGTCCAGCTCATTACATTGCAGCTTTCATTACAGCTTTCATTATAGCTTCAGACTGCAGTAAATCTGACTCTGTACCTTCCTCAATTGCATGGATATGAAGTCTGAATACTGCGAAAGAGTGTTTTCTTGTAATTCATGATAGAGGTCATTTTCAAAGGTAGTAGAATACAGAGATGAAAGATGGATGAAATACATAAGAACATTGCACAGACCAAAGTCTGTTTAGCAGATCATGGACATACCTCTTAAGCACTGCAAAGCTTTCAGTCTAGAATGCTGTAAACAGGTTTCCAAAACTAAGTTTCAAAAACTAATGACCTGGTAAGGCCTAATAGTTGAGGGGTGGAATGTAAGTCCATATGGTTTTGGTGTACATGGTTTGACACATACCTGGTACTTGCTTTTACCTTTTGTATGCCTTTTCACAGCTCCTAAGTCATGCTATGACTCTGGCTCCTAGCCTGCATACTCAAGGCCTACTTTTAGCTCCTGACATTATTCTAGCTCTGTCTGTTTGTTGTTCCAGAACCCTACTGCAAACAGGATTTTTACCCTGGCTCTCAGTGATGCCCTTTCCTGGTGTGTGTTTTGACTTCTCTTGTTTCTGACTTGGGCTGATTCTGGCTGCCCTGATTCCTGAAATCTCTTTATTCCAGGTTGGCCCTACCTAACGAGTATGACAGCTCATGTCAAAATCTCCTTACACACAATTTCCATCCTATGTCCATAGTCCATGAGTAGCAAAGTATGCACAAAGAAATACAAAGCACAGCCTGGACAAATGTGTTCCTCACACCACAGTGTCTTAACAACACAAAATTAGCATCAGACTAGCAATGATAAGTTTATGTTGGTTCTGTGCAGTTCAGTCACACCATGGTTCTAGGAGATCTATCAATACTGCATATGGCACAGTTAGGATGTGCTGCCCTTTGCAGAGCTATAGAAACTGTATAAATAAGCCACTATCTGGAAATACTTCATCAAAACCCAAGGAACTCATATTTTCATATACCTAATAGGAATTCCTATTTTCACATACAAGGGAACAGGACAGCCCTGTTTACCACTGGGGATTGTGATCCTGCCAGAAACACTACTATACACTTTTTTATAGTGCATTGCATTTCTTTTAGGTCAGTCAGCCTAGATTTAAAAACAAACAACCAACATAGATCTGAATAGCTGATTATGAATGAACTGACTTTTGGTGCCCCTGGAACTTAAGTCAGTCTTTTCCAGCAACATGCCTAAAAAGGAAAAATTATTACAGAAAAATTATAGAAAAATATTACAGCAAAATTTTCTACACAGTCTCCAGTTTTCATCCCTGTCACCCCTTCAATTCCTTCCTTCTTTCAAACATAAATCAAAATGGCTATTCCCTGGCCTATTATAAAAGTAATTTCAGTGCTAATATAGAGACAGACATAATTTGCACAGTACATGGCATGGATTCCTTTCCTTCTGAATGGCTCTGACCCTTACATTCCATGTTCTCACAATACTCCTGTTAAACTTCCTGGAAATTTTGAGTGCTGAAGGTATGTAGGATTGAGTTCAATGTGCTTATCTGGTGACAAATCAGGATGGGAGTACATGTTCTTTTTTCTCTTTCTCTGTTTTTCTCTTAGTTTCTTGAGAGTGGGGAAAATTGCAAGAGCTGAGTGATATTTTAAAGTTACTACAGACATGTAAATCCTAGTCTTTCACAAAATCCATCAGAATGTGCACTGTAATTAGCAGAAAACGGAGAAGATGAAAGGCATTGTAAAAGTAAGGAATCCTGCTGAACCTAAAGAAAAAACAATATTAGCTGCACATAGTAGAAGTCCTGATTTTTATCTTCTGAAAAGATTTTAAAGGTTTCTAACAGAAACAGCACAGAAAAGTATGTAAGGAATCATGTCAGGAAAACTTACACAAAGTGGCTTTTGAAAAGAAAAAAAATGAAAAGGAAGTCAACTTATTTATTATGATGATTTGAAATTCTCTTGCATGTTTGCCCTCCCAATTTGCCCCCCAGATCCATGTTAGGCATGTGGTAGACAAATAAAGTAGCAGAATTAGATGCTTAACACATCTTCAGACCATTGTACAGCCATTGGATAGCCCAGTTGTCTTGGCTAGCCTATAGCCAACCCAAGTAGTCTATGTCAGAGATAAATTATTGCCCCAAGCCTTCTGCTTGGTCAAATTTCAGCACAAAGATTTGTCTGTTTTGCTGTCTTAGGGACAGCATCAGAGCCACAGGTTGCCAGGCCATTTCAGAATCTCTTATTCTTCCACTGCATATTTCTCCCTGTCTTGTTCCATATGTACTTACTGAATCACATATATGCTCAAACCTTAAAAATAAAATTACACTTTCTGGGTTTTGCTCTAATTCACAAAAATCTTTCACCTTATCTCTCGTAAAAATTTACACTTCAGAATTCACAAGAGAAATTCTGTCATTTCAGCAACGGCAAAAACAAATTGCTTGGATTGCATACCCAAGTTTAGACTACCATCTTAAGAGCAAGACTGGAAGTGCAGTCTACAACCAGACTTACAATCTGTCAATATCATCTCCGTGTATTTCTTGTTGTACTGCAATTCTTTGTCGAAATCACAGCATCTAATAGCTCTAAAGATGTGAGTCGTGAGAGAAAAAATGAGAGAACTAGAAGTACAGGAAAAAGCAATGAAAAATAGCAGTTTCTGAGTACAGACCGAACACAGAACAGAAAGTCAAGATCTCACCAAGTCAGCAGTAAGCAGTGATGTAGTTTCTCCATGTGTATAATGTATAATTTTCTATTAGAGAAGGTTGTAATAATGACAAGCCAAGAACTGCTTATTACAGATATGTTAGGGAATCCTGTTGGACTGTGGTATTTCCAGTCGTTCAACTTACAGTATCTTACTTGTGTAGCATAGGAAAACCAAGTTGTGGATAATTGTGTGCAAATACACAGGATTGTGGACAGTTTCATATCACACAAGTGAGCGGTGATGTATATCAAAACCCAAAACTAAGTAACAGAGGAAAATAACTAGATATTCCAGAAGGAGCATACTTGTACTGTTATCTCCACCAGTCTTAAGAAATTCTTATCTTCACAAGATCTCATCTACTGGGTAAACAGGAATTACTTAACCATCAGTAAATCACAGATAACTCAGAAATAAAAGTAACATAAGAATTCATATAAACTAAATCAAGGTATAGCTGGCCTTTAAGGATCTACCATATATTATGTAACTAATCCTGATGTGTAATTCTATTAATCTGTCTCCTGGCATGAAGGATTGCAAAAGGCTGGAGGTAAGCTTGTTTTAAATAAAACATTAAAGAATTAATCTTAATTGAGGGGTGGGGTGGGGGGTGTGTGTGTCTGTGTGTCTGTATGTGAGCCTGGTTAAGAAGAGATTTACAGTGGAGTGGGTCTCCTCTTCTTCATTTGGAGTTGCAGAATCAAGGCCAAATACTTGCAGGGGAGAATGGCAGCAGAGGCACACACTCCTTTGAATGCATTCCAAAGGTCCACCCACCAACACTTGCAGGAAACTTTGTAGCATTTCCAGGAAAAGCTGGCAAGAACTGAAAACCTCTGGTGAGTGCAGCTGTATTGGCACCTTAAAGGTGAAATAGAATCACCAAAAATCTTCCTAGTTCATAAGTAACCTTGACTGAGTTGGTCAGTACGATTGTACTTCATTGGGGAATCCTGGGCAAGTGTTCTGGATTTTTCATACTGTTGTGATTTGAGCCATTAGCTTAAATCAGAAAGTTTTCTGTTGGTGAGTCCAGAGGCTTACCATTGGTTTAGTTAAGAGACCAATCCCCTAGCCTCCTGTCGAGGTAGAGTGTCTCAGGGACTCATGTACTCAATAAAGGCAGTAGCATATCCCTTTGGAAAAGATGGAATGAGTGAATGTGAAACATGTAGTCTACTCCTGCACATAAGGAATTAGTAGTGGGTCCTAACAAAAAAAATAGGTAAGGTCAAAAATATTTTACTTCTTTTCATTCCCCTCTTTCACCTTGGCCAGGTTCCTGAGTGTACTAAAAGGCTTTAATAGCCCTGATCAGCCCCACCTGGGATCTGTACTGCCACACTCATCACCTCAAAGCCTGTCCAGCCTCCCAGGTTTCCTAGGAATAGTTTGGACCCTTCCCCCTGCC